TCATGATTTTACAAACCTCTAGAAGGACACCTCTCAACGTCCTATGCTCCAGTGGAAAAATGTCCCAGCCTATCCAGTCTTTCTTTATAAGTCAAACCTTCTATCCTGGCAACATCCTGGTAAATCTATTCTGAGTTTTTAACTTAAGAATTTTTAAGGTGGGACTTCGACAAATATTTAAAGCTTATTTTTATTATTTGTGACATATTCAAGGAACTCGTGATTTGTCATTTGTTTGTTAATGGACATATAAAATGTTGATTTCCTGCATCCAACTTCTAGTCTTTTGCATTATTTGTCCTTATTCTTGATGGGGTACCAGGTCTGGTGAACTGATTCAGATTTGCGCTGCTGCAAAGCAAAATCTAATCTAACCAATTGACGCCCTACTAATCAACTGGCAATCATCTGTGACATGATGGAAGGAGTCAACAACAATGCTGTCAGGCAGAATTTAACCTGTTACTTGATGTTCAATTTAGATTCCGCCAAGAAGACTCATTCCCCATCTCACTACAGACTTTGTCCAGTCTTGGACCTGACCTGTATTCCAGAGCTGAGATGCAAGTGACTGCCAATGCTGGTACATTTCACTGAAAATGAAAACTGTTTGCATTTCAATTTATTTTCTCGTGCAGTGTCATACATTTTGCTTTGAATTCTTTTCTGGGGATTAAATTTGATTTTTTTTTTTCACCAGTCGTGGACATCATTAACAAGACCAAATTTGTTGCCCGTCTATAGTTGCCTTTGAAAGGATGGTAGTGAACCTGAAATGCTACTACACATTTGTTGCAGGTACACGGAGTGCTACAAGAAAGGGAGTTCCAAGGTTTTAATTCATTGACAGTGAAGAAATGACAATGCATCTCCAAATGTGATGGTGCATTGCTTGAAGGAGAACTTGCGGGTTGTGGTCTTCCCTTGTGCCTTGCCCTTCTATGCAATAGAAATCGGACCCTTGTTGGGTTGCCGCTGTGCATCTTGTGGTGGAGGGAGTGAATGTGGGGAATTGATCATATGGGCATCTTGAATGTTGTCGTTGCTGCCCTGTTCCAGGCAAGTAGAAAATATTTCATCACACCACTGACTTGTGCCTTGCCAATGGTGTATAGAGATTTTGAGGAGACAAAAGGTAAGTTGCTTTGTATAGAGTTCTTGGCCTCTAACCTGCTCTTGTAACCACCGTAATTTTATAGATGGCCAAATTGTCAATGTTAACACCCAGAATATTGCTAGTTGGGTGTCAGTAAAGTAGTAAATTCATAAACATGTTCATTTGTGACAAATACATGCCAGTATTTATCATTGAAAGTTAATGATTGATTGATTATGTTTATCACAGCTGCCGTATTGATAAAATAACCACTATTTATAATCCAAAAACATCTGAACGACGTAATCAAATATTTGTTGTTCTTGGCATATTGATGACCTGTAATTTCTGTCTACCCCTAGTTGCCTGTGGACAGTAGTGTGGAACTAAATTCTCTCATTTAGAGTCAGACATGTTAAATTAAGCAATTCAGTTGGTTTTGTCTTTTGTGGGCTAGCTGGACTTTTTATAAATGAACTAAATTATTGATTCGACTGTACAGCTTGATATGATGAGATTTGAACTTTCCATCTGTGACTTGCTAGTGTCTCAGGTTTTGACTAATAGGCTATTGTACTGTATAATCATTGTTCCTTTCTCAAGGTGGGTTTTTAAGCAAAATTAACAAATTTTGTCAGTGCTTTACTTTTGAGTTTACTTTCATTACAATGAATTCTGTAATTCGTCAATATAATTGTTTTCAGTATTATTTCTTTTGTTTGGAATAGAATGAACTTATATAAGTCATACTTTAAAATATTGGGTATCAAATGTTCATAACGGCATATGGCTTACAATTCAGATTCGGAACATTCAAAAAATTTTATATAGTATTAAACAAGTGTAGCATGACTCAGCAATATGGTGACTGACTTTGCCTGATAGCAGTGAGGTAATCTATTGCTGTTATATTGTTTGAAATGTCAGGTAAGTAGTCTGTAGAGTGGTTTCTGAAAGAAAGGGCCACAACATGTGTAGTTAATGAAGTTCTGATTTAAGTTCTATGTTTTGTTACTGAAACCAGAGTATTTGCAGTCCAACATATTTCAGTTTTGTCAGAAAGCAAGGAAATAATTTTTATTTTAAGAGGTCTTTTTAAAGTTCAACCAAATTTGGCTTGTCCATAATCATAGTTTAATTATACTATGTGATTATATACCTCTTTAAGACTTCATGTATTTTTCATTCCATCCCTGTAGCCTGGAAGAGTTGTCACACTTGTTGAAGATCCTGAGGTAAAAGAACAATGCGTAATTGAAAATTTTAAACTGACTTCAGGACTGATTTACAATTCATTCATAAATGTATTTGATGTATTTGTTTCTGCATAGGAACAACAGCTATTGTATATTAATTAGCTGATCAAGTATGTGTAAAATGCCTGTAAAATTGTCCTAAATTGTAGCATCGCTTATTGTAAAAGTCTATAGTTCTGAACAATGCAAGCTTTGTAAAATACAGGTGCTCAATTTGTCAGCTTGAAAGTTAAAAAGGCAAAGAAACTAGACTTAACTTCAATATGCTTGCTTATTGCACAATACTGAAATTTAATATGGACAGATTGGCTAAAGTCTAATTTAAAGTTTGTGTTGTTATCCTGGCTCAGGAGACCAGGAGAAAATTCAGTGAAGATTAATGGTAGCTCAAAAGTTTGGATAGTTTTCAAAGCCAACAAAGAATTACTTTTATTTTAAGAAAAGGGAGAATTAAAATGAGCAGCTTGAAATATAAAAACAGATAGTAAGAGTTTCTGAGACAGTAGGAACTGCAGATGCTGGAGAATCAGATAACAAGGTGTAGAGCTGGATGAACACAGCAGGCCAAGCAGCATCATAGAGCAGGAAAGCTGACGTTTCAGGCCTAGACGCTGCTTCAGAAAGCTTTCCTGCTCCTATGATGCTGCTTGGCCTGCTGTGTTCATCCAG